AAGTAACAATAGTATTCGTATCGTGACGCAATGTTAAATATCTCTAATGTGAATAAGCTAAGAATTTAATATTATTGTTTCTTAATTGTACGTCAGCATAGATAGAGAACTGAGGTAGACCTTTGGTGTTGGTGCAGATATATCAGGTGGTCGTAATACTAATGAAACGACTTAACGATCGGACTTGGTACATGCGCGCATCATGTCTACGCGATAAACATAATATCCGGATGGAAATTTGTTTGAAGATTAAAACAGTTAAAGGCTAATATGTCGTATGACTTATGTTAACAATCCGATTGATAACATTGATGAAGGAATGAGTGCAACCCCGCACCAGAGGGAAAGGCTTTTATAATATGTATAAGTAGAGGCTATATTTATAGAGACGAAGAGCCAACCCTGAGTCTTTCTCCCTGCCCTTCTAATTCTCTCTTTTTTTATTTTCTTTTTTTCCTCTTTCATTCCTTTCCCTTTCTATCCCATTTCTCCGTCTTTCTTTTTCTCAACACTTCTCACTTTTTTTGCTTTTTCTTTTTTTGTTATGCACAGTGTTTCCAACGATAAGACTTCTGTTGTTGTAGCACGCCGTGCCGAATGTAGAAGCTGCTATATTCTTATTACACTTCAGGTGCTTTAATTTTAACCAGCAATGCTGTACTGCTGCTCGGCTACCCTTTATGCTGCGTGTTAAGCAAAAGCGAAAGATAATAATTAATAAAAAGAAGATTGCAAAATGCAAATGTCATAGACTAACAATAGAAAAAATTGAGGCAGCTGTTCTCTTCAAAATATCTTCTTTTAATTTTTATATAAAATTGTCAATATAAAATTATAGCATTATACAAAGCATAAATAAAATTTTTATTTTTAATTTTTTTGTAATAATTAAACATATAATAAAACAAGAAAATATTTAAAGTTTGCTAAATAAAAATTTTACTCTAAAAATATTCTTGTTAATTTTATTCCAAAAAAAGTGTAACAGCCATTGTAAAATATCTAAATAATACATTCATAAAGATTAATTGTAAACTGTAACAATAATTTTTGTATTGATTGTATAAATAACGAAATCGCAGGCAGGATCAGTCGTTAATTGTTAATTAATTGTTAATATTGTTATGCGATCAAAGAAACGGCTACCTCTGACGGAGAGACGGACGGACGAACGAATGAGCATGCAAGATAAGCAGATTGTTGCATAAACTGAACATGTTTGATTTACAGATTCATCTATTTCTCTTTTCTAATGTAAACTACAATGCAAGAAGAATGTGAGTAATTTCTTTACACTTGTAATATACTACTAATCAAGCTACACACAATGCATATGCATTAGAAGAATGAGAAATGTTAGTTAGCACAAAGTGCATGCGGGCCTTGAAGACAACCAAACACATTTTCGTACAAAAATACTTACATTAAAAAAAAAAAGTTTTTACAAGAATATACTCAAATAAGGTTTATAACTAGATAGAGAAAATATATTCTTCTATATAACATACTAATCTACATTAAGTTTATAAAAAATTTATACTTCTTCCTCTTTTTCTCTTTCTCTGCTAACGCTCTATATAACATAATATATACAATAATAAATTAATTCAAAACGAAATGTAAGAAATACGCTACAGTATACTTTCAACTTTACTTTCTTAAAAACTATTACTTATAATACTAACGTTAAGCGTGTATTTAATAATTGTAATAATGTACTCCATTTTACTTATTTTGCGAATTATTAGATTATTAAGTGCAAAATAAATAAAGCTGAAGTTTAATAACATAATAAAGTAACATAACAATAATAATAATAACAATGATAATGGTGTTGATGGCGAAGAAGTGATAATGACCAATGATATGAATAACGAAAACAATAACAATGATAAAAGATATTATAAATAATTTTAATTGGAGCTTGTTATACCTGACGATCGTCCGCCTATCTGTAGCCAGAAGTTGTATATTTCGCAATTTTTAATTCTATTCCCTATTAGTTGCTCAGATCATTCTTTTTAATATTTATACGCGTGCAGTCAGTATGTATAGAAATTTGATTTAAGTTAGCGTTACAGTACATAATTTTCTTCTCTGTTCACACTGTATGACTTGCGACGTTAAAAGGCATGAGCTGTAAGATTTAATTTTAGCAATCATGTACGAAAGTACTTACACATGGGTGACACGTAGTTGCTCGGAAAGACGCCCGATACACCATTCAATTCGCCTCTCCACCACGATGCCTCTTCTTTGGCAAGTACTGATATAACGTCACCTTTCTCGAAGCTCAATTCATCCTCATTTTGTGCTTGGTAAGGATACAGAGCCATAACGCGTTCTACAAGAAAATATACTAAATTTATTATCGTCTGCAATATAAGATTGTTTAAATAATCACATGTAGTTCTAAAAAAAAATCGTTCCTTATGCAGGATTTATTTACCAATATTCGGATCTGTTGGAGAATCTTGATATCCATGAGAGACAGGTGTACTTCTATTACTACTACTAGTTAAAGGTTTAACATAAGTTGCTGGGAACCAACCAACTTGTCTCTTTTTACCACGTGCCTAAATAAACGCGCTAGTTATATTTAACGATATTTATGATAGTTAAGCGATAAGAAAAAAATTTGTATTCTTTCTACCTGAAGCTCTCCTTCCCACCATCCGCTATCAGTCTTTTTACGAATCATTATTAATTGTCCTCTTTGTAAATCCAACTGTTCTCCACTAGTCCCTTGATAGGGTGCAATAACTTGAACAATTTCTGGTTTTCTTCCTCTCTGTGAAAAGAAAAATTCTTTTCATTAGTAAAATAAATCAACAATTCTGCAATAAATCAACATAATTTAAAAATTTGAATTTAAAAAAAAAGGTTTATGGATTATAATTATAATCATAATTAGTATAATGATATAATTAAGTACCTTGTAATACTGTATTATCGGGATGTTGATAGCATATAAAAAGAGCAATAAGTAATTACTCTTATAGTAAAAAGATTCTAATTATTATTAGAATATTATCTTTGTACCTGTTGAGCAGCCATAGCAGTAAAGTCCGGTAATTCCGCTCTGTCCTCGGCAGCTGCTCTCTCGTCTTCTAATTGGTCTGCCGTTTTTTCTGCCTGCTAAACACACGCATGCTCTATCATTTAAGCTTTGTCACTGCAGTCTCATTGTCAAAATCAATACAATAGCAGATTAGTAAGAGATTCCCAATGTACGTGACTAGATATGAGATGCAACTTCAAACATTATTTGAAACAAACAACTACAATTACGTACTTGCGATTCTACATTCGCTGCAGTATCAGCTTCATTCTGCTTCTGTGTTTCGGCAGCTGTAGCAATAGCAACAGCACTCGACTGAACATTAGTAGACAAAGGCGCACCCTAATCGACATCACATACAAACTTGTATTAAAAACTCTCAAACATGAGTTAGCAGATAAAAAATAATTGCATTCGGAATCAAGCAATTAATTTCAGCTTACAATCAAATCAGAAAACAAAATAATCAGAAAACAAAGAAAAAAACGTATACGAGGGATAGTAGATTTGTCATACCTGAGTGGGAGCATCGCATTTCTCTACATAATTCGACGGAAAGATTCCGCTTTTGTCCCCAATACAACCGGTCCACCATTCACCTTCTTTCTTTGTAACTAATATAACTTCCCCTTGGTTGAAACTAAGATCGCCAGCTTCAGTCGATTCGTACCGATAAAGAGCGACGTAATATTCATTAAGACCATCAGCCACAGTATCTTTGTTGTTTGCAATTATCTCTTTCACGTATGACTTGGGGAACCAACCCTTATTTCCAGTGCTGCCTGAACCGTACCACCAGTCATCCTGAATATAATAGATACTTTGTAAAATGTATTTTTTATTTTCTTTATACAATCAATGTAATAATATGTATATAATGACCTGCTGCTCAGAGACATTGATTGTTTCGCCTTTTTCAAAGGAGAGATGTTGATCCATAGTAGGTCGGTAAGGAAACAAAGTAGTGACTTGTATATCGCAAGATGTACCTAAGCCTAAAGTAGGTATAATAGCTTCCACTACTGGGGCTTCTCCCCCTAGTGATCCCGCATCGGATACGTTCTCGGGAACTTCCGCTATACCTCTGCACAATGAATAAAAAGCCTGATACTTGATAATACATGAAAGAATACATTCTTAAAATTGCCAATATAAATGAAAATAACTAACTCTAACGTTCTCTTCTCTACACTATCTTGTTGTACGAAAGTATGTTCGTTGTCCAAACTGGCTGTACCAGTATCCACTGGTTCCACATAAGATTCAGGAAACCACCCAGTATGACCGCGAATCTCTCCTGCCATCCATCCTGGTTCAGCATTTTGCACAGGTGGTACCTATATAGACATTATATTAATTATTTATATATATATATTATATATATAAATCCTCTTTTTAACAATGGTAATTTTATTCTATTATACCAATATAATATCGCCAGGTTGAAATGATATTTCGTCTTGATTTCGCGCCACAAATTCGTAAAGGGCTCTGTATTTGCGAACACCGACAACAGCAGCTTCATCTATTGAATTTGTCACTGCAGCAGTATCATTGACAGGCCAAGCTGCATCGCTAACAGGTGCGTCACCCCAGGCACTATCACCCCACGCAGATGTGGCAAAGTCGGCAGCTGAGACGTTACTACTCGATCGAAGTTCGATTACTTTCTTCTTCTTTTCATCGAAAGTAATATAGAGTTGTTTACACTCTATTATTAAATTTTTCATTTGTGTCTTAATATCTTCAAGCTGAGCATTATTATTCTCAATATCGGCCATTTTAGAATCAATCTGTTGAAAAATAGTCAAAGGTAAAAAATTGACATCAGAGTTAAAACTTTTTTGATTAATTAATTAACCGATTGAAAGTGTTATATACCTGCTGTTGTAAATCTGCTATTTTATCTTTCATCTGCTTAAGAGTAATTTGTTTATTGTCAAATGTCATTTTAATAGCCTCTTGCCCAGCTGCATCTTGTGCCGCATTAATTTTATTTTTCGCCTCAATACGTGCTTTCTCTTGACTCAATGCTAGCAATCTTTGATTTTGTTCCCGTAATCTATTTTTTAATGCAGCCATTTCTTGTAACTGCGTATCTCTTGTTGATCTCATGCCGTCAATAGTCGTTTTGACACCTGACACTCCCACTCGAGTATCACAAATCTTTTGTGACAATTCCTTCACTTTGTCATTCTGGAAGATAATTATCGTTAAGGTTGTGTATTGTGCTTATTTGAAATAATCTTTTAATATACTTACAAGTGTTCCAAGTTCGATGGTCAACGTCTGATTTTTCGCTTTCAATTTAAGGAGAATATCTTGCTCTTTTTGTCTTTGAGCTTGCAGCTCTTGTGATTTCTGCCGTTCCCATTCCAATTGTCGTTGTCTTTCCATTTCCCTAAATGTCACAAAATAATGTTGTTTTTGGATTCAATACAAATATAAATTTCTACGAAAAAACAGAAATTTATATAATTTTACTTGCGTGCCGCCTCCTTCTGTTCTTGTGCGCGTTTCCGTTGTTCTTCTTTTTCCTGTTCGATTTCCTTTTGTCTTTGCATCTGTTTTTCAATTTCCGCTTGTCTACGTCTCTCTTGTTCTAATCTGCATCATAAAACGTAAAGTTACATTTAATAACAAGTTACAATTAATAAGCGAATTTATTTACCTTATTTTCTCTTGTTTCTCAGCTTCCTCCCTCTCTTTGCGTTCCCGTTCTTCCTGTTCCTTTCGCTGAATTTCTAATAATGCTTTACGCCTACGTTCTAATTCCGCTTGACCTTTCTCAAAGTTCTCTTTGCGTTTATCTTCGAATGAAGTCTGTAAAAAAAATGATCTTTTTTCGTTTCTTTTTGCACAAAAAGATATTTTTATATTATACACATACCTGTGGCATGCCCGCTAATGGATCAATATTTTCTGTTGCATTTTGAGATAATGTTAAACTGGTTTGACGTTGCCGTCTAAATGTAGGTGGAATAAGTTCCGGTGGAAGTGTCGTAGGTATCTTTTCGCCGAGTTTAGCGATATCGCATAGATGCATTGCAAGCACAAATTCTTCAGAACCTAAACGTCCATCTGAATCCATATCAGCTAGAGCCCTATTAACATATATTTTAAAAAATTTTGTCCTTTTATTTTGCATTATGTAAAAAACGATACTTAATGCGCTATCTTATAAACTTTATTACTTTACCATATTTGAGCAAGTATTGGTTGTGGCAATTGCGACTGCACCATGATATTTCTTGCTTGAGGTCCAGATAAAAAACCAGATCTCGTTCTGTCCCAAGTATTAAATAATTGAGTGTATTTTAATTTGGTTTGATGTGGCACCGCCCATTCTGTTGATTGTGGAGAACCAGCAGAATGCTGACTGTGCTGTGAATCCACGGAGCCTACTCTATCTATGCTCGGCGGACGTGCTGTCGTACTTAAAGGCGTATTCGTAGATACAGGCGTTTGCGTAATTGCACCATTAACCAATGTGCCGTTTGCAATCGTCGAGGATACTAATGGTAACGCTACTGACGAAGCGACTCCAGTCCCTAAAGAAAGAAAATAAAAATAAATGTTATAATAAATGCAAGTATAATGAGATATTTTTTTGCATTGTTATATACCGGTATTTATCGATCCGATAGATGGTACCATACTGGGAATGCCGGTCATAGGAGCAACCATACCACCTGCATTAACCATGCCTAATGGCTGTGTAGGTATTGGTGGTGCCATGTTAAAGGCAGCCATTGGTACAGGAGTTGTGTTTAAAGGGGCAATGGGTGCTACCGATGGAATACCTAAATCATAAAAAAAATTGATAGACGTATAAGACTACTTTATGTAAAACATGTTTATATTTTAATATAAATTTATTTCTATTTTTTACCTATCCCAGAGACGGGTATAGACGGACTCGAAGAAACAACTGAAGAACCAACAACAGAAGTTGTAACTTTCATCGGTGAAATTCCTACTGTAATAGGACTGTTTGGAAACGAAGGTGGTGCTGGTTTTGGTGGTGGGCCACCTGTCGTGGCCGCGAAACTACTTCCTGAAATAATTTCATATAATTATTATTTCATTTGTCAGATAACAAAAATTTAAATATGATTGTTAAATTCAAGCAACATTAATTATTTTTGCTCGATAAATTATGACAATATAAAAAAAAACCAACAGTTGAATAAGCATAAGCAAGAAGATTGTGTGAGTACTTTAAGCTTTTTTTTATTATAATGTGTCAATGAGTTTATTTAAAAAAATTTGAAAATAATTATCTTTGTCATAATAATGAATTTGTATAACATATGTTTGTTTAAACATACCAATATTTGCAGGTGGTGCAGGTCTTTGCGGGGGACCACCGGTTGTGGTACTGATAGAAGGCGCGATTCCTTTTTTTTTTGCCGCGTAAAGTGTAAAGCATTATTAATAATATATCGTTGAAGATGAAGAAATGCAAATATCATTAGTAATATTAAATATTTAAATGATATATAAATGTAAACATTTCAAATAATTTCAAGTAATAAGTAATAAAAATGATATTATTGACCAAAAAATAAAAATTTTAATTTTATTAGAAAATAACGATCTTTCCGTGTATGTAATAATATCTAAAATTATTAATGCAACTCTATTTTTCTCTATATTCAAACATGTATAAAAACTTTCAATTTTGTTTGATTTTTCATTTAATATTAAAAATATTAAAATTTTTCATATTTTTTTAATATATAACAAGATGCAGATAGATTTTTCTCTCATATTAAATATATTTGCTAAAAAATATATCATCGCAAAGTCCAACACATACCTACACGTGTAATAAAAAAAGCAGACTGGCTTGCATTTTTGAAAGCTTTTGCTATGACATAAAGTGTTACACGAATTCTAAAAAAAACAATCTTAAATTTTAAAAAGATAAATTGTGCATGTTTTGTACATCAAATGATGATTATCTCCTAAAATTGTAGAATAGTAAGTAAAAATGTAGACATTCCGAAATTATATAGCGTATTGTAAATAAAGATACGTAAAGACACACATACGCACATTCCAAAATTATAGTATACTGAAAGTGTAATGGGTACAACACAATTAGGCAGGGAGCTTGCCTTACACAATATAATTAATAACGTCGGCAAATAAAAATAATTTAAAAACACGTTTTAACTCAGAACATTGTCAAGCTATCGAATAAGTTTGCTTAAAAAAAAAAAAAAGACAAATTGACAAATGTAAAACAACATGAACAACTGACAATGTAACACAACATTGAGTTAACATACCCACAGAAGGTGGCGCGGGTCGAGCGGGTGGCTTAGACGGTATATGAGTTGTGGCATGTGTGCTTGGAGCCACATTCTGTCTATTTTGTTGTAGTGCTGTGTAGTATGATGAATTATGAGTAACGGAAATAAGATCAGATCTGATAATCAATGTTTTGTGGCTAAAATAATAAGAGCCACAAAATAAAATAATAACTGAGAGCGATATATCCAATTCATGAAAATGATATAAAACTGATATGATACTGTAATAATACAGGTTTGTTGGATACAGTGATATTGTAATCATGTTCGATATATCTGAATCTAACGAGCAACGAATGTCTGAGCGAAAGTGTATTTCTAAATGCTTATAGACGCTCATTCAAGCTTTTTATAAGTTGAAATCATTTGTTAGTTTAGAAGATCAGTTTATGAGATCCAGATAAATATCCACTTGACAATTGTCAGTCAAGAGATAGAACGAAGGTAAATAACAAAAATGCATTTAATAATTATTACCTAGGAGTGTATTTCCAGCTGTGGGTATCACGCTTGGTACAGTTTGAGATACTAATGGTGGATGTCCACTTAAATTTACTAGAGAGCTAACGTTACTTGAAGCAGTGGAACCATTCAGTAATCCAGCTAGATTAGCATCACCTAAAACATCCCAAGATATAATTATATATTTCACTTTTATAGACACGAGTATCCACATACCAGTTGAGAAAGCTTTCAAGCTCTGTATAAGGACAGGTGGCAGTACTTTGGGAATTTCGAAACCACGCAATTTCAGAGTAATTAACTTGCACGCAATACTAAATTCATTTATATCCATTTTTCCATCTGCATCTGTATCCGATAATGCCCTATGATGATACAAAAAGATTAAGTACCACTTTATATGATTTAACGAGATAATCCTTGAATATCCATACCATATTTGTCCAAGAATAGCAGGCTGAAGTTGAGATTTAAGGAGAAATCCCTTTGCCTGCTCGCCAGTGACAATTCCATTGATTGGTTTCAATGAATCAAATTGTTCTTGAAACCTCATTCTTTCTCTAGGTTGGATCACCCAGGGGTCCATACCTACAAAATAAACACAATATTTATAATGAGCATAGAATTTTTAATAAGAGCATCCATGAGCATCCATTTGTTTACCAAGATATCACTTTAAATAGTCTATATAAGACTATCTGTGCTAAAAAATTCACTGGTATTATAAAATAAGTAATTTATCTTAAGGAAGGAGATATCAGGCGCGATAATGCATACTAGAGATGACATAAGCGATAATATCAACCTGACAATAATAGACGCACAAACGTCACTAAATGTCAATGAACGCGCGAGAATGCAAGTCAAAATTCACCTGGAGTCTGGGGAGTGCTCATTATGGAGGAGCGATGTCCGCTGCACGGTACTCAAGATGTTATCACGTTAGAAACCTCGCGTTTTTCTCGCGATCGTGCGAGTGCGGCGACAGTTGACGCCTTCAAGGTTAGCTTAGGTTAGGTCACGGTGATCGATCTTCGCCTCGACGGCTCCGCGACGAGATTTATCTGCCGACAGATATCGTCAAAGACTAAAAAAAAAAAAAAATATCTTTGTGCGATTTCTATTCACGAGTCGAGCAACGAAATCAACAGGATCAATGAAACATCATCATTGACGAAGTCGCTTAGAGAAAGCTACAAATGTTACTCCGCGCATGCAAGTGGAACGATTTCTATCGCGGTCACGCGAAGAAAGGCATGACGTCGAGTCAACGAGATCTATCGCATTGTCGCGATTCGCAATGCACTAATCGTACCGCCCAACGTCTGCGTCTGTCGTTCGCGACGTGTCGCCGCCCGTCATCGCCTATCATCGTTCGCCATCGCGCGACCTACAACCTGCCGTCGTCGTCACCGTCATTGTCGTCGTTTCGACTGGTCTATCGTTCTCGTGTCTACCTGACTGTCAATTCGCCCGTCGTCCTCGCGTCTCAACTGTCAATCCGCGCGTCTCTCCCGCGTGCGCGAATGTCGCGGCCGATGAACGAGATCGATTTTCGTTCCTCGCAGAGAGGAAAAAAAAAGACAGACGGGGGAGAATCACGTGTGGTTGTCGGCGCGATCGGATTGATCGGGGGAATAAAGTCAGCGCGAGCCGATTCACGACGAGATGACCACCACTGACCACCGCCAAACTTCACCCAGCTCGTCCAGCGTTCGTACGGCTACTCGCGCACGTCACTTTCACGAGAGCTCGGCCGCTCTCGGTACTCTTCGGTGAGAATCGATATCCCGCCTCCGAGACTGATTCCTGCGATCGCGGCGAAGATCATTTGGGTCCCCTTTCCCTGCTCCCAAGAACAAAAGAGAAAAATTCGAACGATGAAACCCCCCCTTGAACAAATAAATACATATTGCCGGAAATGCGATTGTAATAAATATAACGACATTTAAGGAAATATTACATTTGATTTCATAATTTTTATATTTACAACGAAAAAATTATGAAAAACTTACAGATTATTCTTTAAATCGTATTTAAAACAAACTAATCTCCGCAATGAAACTTTACAATAAATCATTTTGAATATTTAAAGTATTTATATAAAAAAAAAATTGAAATTTTTACTAATTCTCGATTACATTTCTATTAAAGCACATATTAGTTTATATTTAAATAAATTTTTATCCAGATTTTAAACCATCGCAAATTTGTTTGCATTGCTTTTAAATGCGATCTAGAACAATTTATAATTTTTTTCATAATTTTTTCATTGTAAATAAAAAGAGATGTGATATATCCTTAATTGCATGGCGGGACAGCGATCGCGGGCGAGTCTCGCGAATCGCAGCGAATGTCGGAGTACTTCGTCCGGGACGCACTTCAAGTCGTAGCGTGGCGAAAAATCGCTCAATATATTGAATTACGATTCGTAATCTAAACCGGTCGATTGCGAATTCTCGAGCATTTCCTGTCGCACGAAAGTCACGCACGGACGGGATAAACGAGTTTGACGAAATATCGAGATATGTTCAGTATTTTCGAAGAGGATTAACGGTTGCCGGGCTGCAGGCCGAGCTTGGCCGAGCAGCGATGTTACGAATCCGAGCACCGAATTACGCGAATGTCCGACGGGGCACGCGTCCTTGGCGATAATAAATATTCTTCCACACGTGCACATATGAACGCGCTGGAAATTGCGGAGCACCGGCAGTCAAGCCGCGAGCGTTTGCGAGCCGGCGCGGATCGCTTTCGGATCGCGAGCCTCCGCGATTATTTATTTCCGCTGCGCGGGATCGTGATTTTCGTACGAATAATGTATGCCTCTCTTTCCCTCCTCCCTCCCATCTCATGCCACGAGAGAGTCTCCCGTCTCTCTCTCCTGCCCCGTTTCCCGATGACACAGATAGCCCTTCTTATCGCGGCTTTTTTTCATCGTCTTCCGAACGAAAAGTGCCGGTCAAATCGATAAGTGCGTCGCATCGGGATCTCTCTTCGTTGATAAACTCTCATCGAAGAGAAGAATCTATAGTCATATATAGTTTAGCGATATAAACGCGATCCGGCGCGCCGTTAGAAACGTTATTAGAGGCGTTTCGCAATCGAGCGGCGGGGGAGGGGGAAGGGTTTCCCCGCGCGCGCAGCCTTCGCCGGCGACATTGGCGTCTTCTCCATTTTTCGAGGTCGTTTATGGATTCGTCACGTCTTGAAATCTGGAGAGTTCGAGGATCACAGGTATCATCAATTAAGGCCGGACATTAATCTTGGGACGAGATTGTGCCCTTGTGCACGTCGCTCGAGAACGCGGGGTCATTAGCGCCCTAACACGCCTAATACACGTGAAGTTGCGCGCGTATCCGATCGTATTCTGATTGCGCGCTTTGTATCTAAATGACTATTAGTTCTATTTGATATTAATTTAATAATCATTCATTTCCAGTTATTAGAGATTTTATTATATATTATTATTATTATTATTATTATTATTATTATTAGAAATTAATTGGTATTATTAGATATATATATTCAATATTATTATTTTATATTTATTATTATTATATATATATATATATATATATATATATATATATAATAAATAATGTATCTTGAACGTTCGTCATGTTTGACAGAATCAGCGATCGTTTCATGCGCGGAAGATGATATTTGATTCACGTTTAATCCACTTCGCTAAATTCTTTTAAAATCAATTGCATCATCCAGAGTTAGTCTTCGGTATTATTCCGCTTCACAATCTCGTTTCTTTTTAATCCGTTAGATTGTTTCTTACTCTTCGCTTTGTCGTCATGGGATGAGACAAATTACCAGCATCATGCCAGCATTATCTCTTGCGGTGCAAACTTCACAACATATTAAATTCGGCGCGCTTGCATCGACGGTGGAATAGAATAAGAAGCTTGCAAAGTGCATGATTTATTGAATAACATTGACATATTTATATAAATTATTGTAAAGGAATTACTTAACAAGCGATAAGTGCACGTGATAACGATAAAGACAAGTCGTCGCAGCGAGCCATTATTGTGATTCTTTTTTTAAGCGCAAACAATAAAAGTTGAAGCGATATTTTTAGCCATTAAACCGGATCGACTTGAAACATTACGCGTTTTTTTCGCGATCCCCTGTCGATTTAATTAGTGGAACGCGTTGAAGGACGGATAATCACGCATCATAAACATCGTAATTTTGCTGATCGATCACGCATGTTTCTTCTTTGGAATACACATAGCGGTATACATATACACTCAGCAGTTGCGCATATTTAATGATAAGGACAACTTCGACCGAGCTCTAGTTACCTTAATCAGCGATTAACTCGGCAGAATTGCTTACAGCACACTTTCTGCCTCTATAATGCGTTATTTGACTTTTCTTTCTATGTATCAAACAATGAAAAATTTATAATTCTATTCTATGCTTATCATTTCATTTTTATTCACGATCAAGTAAATGGAAATTTAACTAAAATCATATTAAAATCTTGTTATGACGCATATACATATATGACATACGCATATATATTACGTAGTCGATACAAAACGAAGTTACCTGTTATACGAATTATATCTATTTCTATGAAAGAGAATTTTAATCTCAATTTAATTAACTTATCCCTTTTAATATCCAAGAAAAAAATAAAAAGTAAATTGAACTGAAATTAAAGTTGATCTATTTAGAATTAACATTAGTTAATTAACAGTTTAGACTCCGAAGTTATTTTATGATTACATTTTATTTCCATTGGTATATACATTTTTATGATAAAAAAACAAGGTAATGTTGTAGATCTTTCATAAGGAACGCAACACGCCCGACGCAATAAAGTAAGCTACGATAACGCGAACGCACGTGTTGACGTTTGCGCACGTGCGATAATGACGTGCGATAATGATAAACAGATACGCGATCGCGACCGCAATTTCTCCATTTCGTGTAACGCAACCGCGGTTGAGCTTGTCACTCATTTGTCGTCGCACTTCATGTGCCTTTAAATTGCATTTAAATCATCTAAACAAACGCGCGTTTCGCGCAACAGCGTCGCAGCGAAACGTGTCGATGAATTCGAAAGAAAAATTCTCAGGGAATTCTCATATTTATAATTTCTCCGTTCTTACTTTAAGAACTCAAGTATGTCAAGTATGTCTGTTAAGATGCGGCTGAATGTGATTAGTTTGTGTACTTTATCTTAAGTATGTACTTGAAACAGTCTTAAGTATAAGAATTGACTATGAATATCGCTTAAGAAGAATCATTACGAGATTGAAAGACGGCGATATTTTACCAAGTCGATTCGAACTTCCACGAATCCGCCGCTCGGTGACAAACGCGCAAGCTACCGACAATGGTTTTCGGCGCCGGCGCCAAGTCCCTCCTCCCCCCCCGCTACCCCGCTGCCCTCTCTCTTTTTTTCCCCTACAGCATCAGTGGTTTCCGGGTGTCGCGTGCTCACACCCTGTCTTGCGCTAAGCTAGCCAACTTCGCTAGCCAACTTCGGCGACCCCGTCACATGCGTATGTACGTATGTGCGCGTGCGTGCGTGCGTATGTGCGTACGTGCGTACATGCGTGTGTGCGTGGTGCGTGCGTACGTGATACGTGCGCGTGGTAGATGCACGCGCGCACGTACGATACACGTGTCCGTCTGACACACGTCGGTGGGCCCCACGTTTCTTTTCCCCCCCATCGAAATTCACGGTCTGATGGCAGAGGAACTTGGACGTGCGAACCGATCGAACAGACGAGTGTATAACGGTGCGAGGTGTATACGTCGACGCGCCGCTGCGTGCACCGCGACGGCTTCCCTTCGACGAGGGCTATCGATCGGCCAGTGTCGCGACGAGGGCGACCGTCAGGAGATTACCGGCCGGCTCGCTGGAGCTGGGAACAGCTGTCATATAGAAAAGGTGTGTGGAAGGTCACGCCGTGTTCGCGGAGACTGACTCGCGAGATTGACCGTGGAAACGTTGCGACACGTGGGGTACGCTTAACGGACGAGAAAGAGAGAGAAAAAACGAGCGGGTAATTACATCACCATCATTTTGCTCAATGGGAAATCGACTTGGGTCGCCGGCGAGTGGCGCCGACGCCGCCCGCGCATCACGCGACCGTCGAGCGACTACCTCCACCTCCACCTCCACCTTCCAGCTCCAACTCCCTCCCCTGTGACCGGTATCGGATTATCGATAATTCAGCCGGTTGAATTAGAGATTGATTACAGCGGTGATAAGAGGGTTGCGCTTCGGAAATTTTCGCACTCGTTAATTGACGAATTGCGATCAAGTTATGAGAAGATGCACGCGACGTGGGTATCATTTATGTATTTATTTCAACGGAAGTCGTTCACCATTAGGCGCACGACAATCCGTGAAAATAATCCAATTTCAAGGATTTTTATTGTACAAAAAAGAAAAGAACGAACGCGAAACTCGCGATGAATAATCGGAGGTGAACAATGCCGCGACGTCCGTCGAGCGGGCATCAGCCACGCGTCCGCGCCCACGTTCGTCGCCAAGGAATTCTCGACTCGCGTTTAACGTTAGTCTTCATTATGAGCGCCCATAATAAGCGAGAAACACTCTGTAGTTTTGTCCTCATTTTCCAAGAACGAGACGTTGGAATAAGGCTCTGTCTCTTTTCAGATGATAATTTCGGACTTTGTACTTTGCAAGTACTTTGAGATGTCAAAGATCAAGTCTTCGGGAATGAGAACTTACATTCCCGGAATATGTTAAGGACATCGTTGTTAGATCTTAGTAAAATATACGTAGCAGCGTCGATCGGACGGAAATAACGAGGAAAAAAGAAAAGGATGCAAAGGATGTTGATGCACACATAAGAAACCTGTCTGAATATTAAATGGCAGACAGACCAATGAAATAATGAGAAAGAGCGCATGTTTGTCATTTGCAGAGCAAACAACGAATGTTTAGATCCTCACACCTCGGAGGCCTTTGAATGTGAAACACAAAGCTCACACCGCGCACAAGCAATAACACAAGTAATAAGTGGTATCTGAAGGTGTATCTACACATGACGAAGTAATTGTGTATTTGTGGAGGTACATGGTCACAAAGCGCATAATTCGCATGGCATATTCTGACCTTAAACCCCTGTAACGCGCAGTTTTATTTCTTATGTAAGTGCTGACATGGCGCAGCAGCAACGTAGCGGAATGCATCGTTTGTTTGTTTGCAAATTAACGGTGTCTTCGCAACAACGAAGTTATTGGAAGACTAGTTTGTGTGAGTACGCGGTGTAGAATCTCTTCTGAGAATAATTATTAACGAAATTCCTTGTAAGACGGAACAGAATAATTTTCACTGGAATAAAAACGTAACATAGTATCATTTAAAAGTTTTTTTCTTTTCCGATATTTTTCTCAAAGTAAGTTTTTGCGTTTGTACAGGATCATTTATACGTCAAGAACTCCAAATGCCACCGCTTGATTGGATAGATAAAATAAATCAGATCTGTGAAGTTGTCTTGCTGAGAAAGAAGAAAGAAACATCATTTATCTTCCATCAGCCCGTAAGCTCTAACTAACAGCGATTTACAACTGCATTCAATTAGAGAGAGAAAAACCGAGAGCCTGAATAGAAACAAATACCTTTCGCATTTTTGCGGCGTGGCTATGAGGGGATTGAGAGGGCTGGGTGCAACGCGGCGCAGCGTGGCGCCCTTGCAAGGACAGCAGCCTTTTCAATGTATTCCAGTCCGCAAATTTTTAACTCACCTCACCCGTTACGCGTTTCATCGAGCCAAGCCGGCCATTCTCGCGCTTGCGTGACGGCGATACGCTTTTTAAATTGCAAATAATTGATTGCATTTGCTTGAGAGCACTCACTTCAAATATACGGATCGATTCGAACGATCATGTCCGATTGTGAAGTAATCGGAAGTAATTGACAATACTTTCGTTGAGAATGAATTATTTGATCTTATTTCAGAGAAGCAAGGACTTTCTACGGTTTTTATTAATAAGTATCGAATGGGAAAATAAAGCAACAGAGAGAAAGGAACGAGTATCTTCTTCTAGAGAGATACCAGAAAGATATTCCAGTCCGTCTCGATTCTTGATTATAACTTGATCTCGGCATGGAGACATGGGCCTCTCTGTCCCGCATCTCCCCGTCGCATTATGTCCTCTCCCCTGCTACTTTCCTTGCCAGAACGCGGCTCCCTTCGTCGGCCACGTCCAGCAGAAAAGGCAACCGTTAAGACTTGTCGAGATGGATTTACATAAAGTGTAGGTACGCAGAAGGAGAAAGGAGTAGCCAATCATGCGTCTAAGGAACGCAGCAACTGGCATCCTTCGCGTTAAGCACTCGACCCAGATCGGTCGAGTTTTTTTTGTCTTGTACGCGAGTATGCGGGTTACGCAGTTATGCAAATCGGCAGGCGGGACCCTTGCGCGATTCTCCGCGGAACGCGACGCGTTCCGCCAACAACACGTCACGCTTATCGAGCGCATATCTTTAACTCGCTGAGGAAAAGAAAAAAAAAAAATATCGGCAAATACATTGAAAGCTCGCGAGCCGTTGAGGCAGGCGTTTTCTTGCACGCAACTGCGTTGCAATTTGAACAGGTGAATGCTCTTTTCCGATATCAGAGGAACGCGATGCAAATGTCAAATGTATACGGTGTCACGTCGAAGCGTGAATCCCGGATAATGAACGCGGCAATGCCAATTACCTGGCCACCAATTAACTAATTACAAAGGTAACCATCTCGAAGTGTCTATCATTGCCCTGTTCTGATTCCTCCATTTACCGAAATACGTTTGGTACTGTAATTCGCATTTCGTTTATCACGGTGTACGTGCTCTCGTGGGAGCCTTCGACGGAGGGGGGGAGGGACCATCAGATTATTTGCTCATTAGCGAAGCAGCTAATGCTGAGCGACGACTTCGGTAGAGACGCCAGAGCCGTTCTTTCTCTTTCTATCCTTCTCTCTCTGTCTCTCTCCGTTCCATTCGCACTCACGAGAAACCAGTTGCGATTTTTCACGCGGTGGGAACTAGAAGCCGCTCCCTACTATAAATAGCCTTCGGGTTTTGCACTGGGGCCGGCGACGTCGGCCTCCGATGCGGCGACGGCGGTGGCGGTGGTGGCGATGATGGTGGCAGCGGTGGCAATGTCTGGGCCGATATTACTAACATGCGTCTAACAGGCATTCCTGTCGCGTGCGAATAATCGATCACCTATCTACTAGTTGAAGCTTCGTCATTTCTTTTTACACGATTAAATTGATACTCGAGAAAAGAGGGAGTAAACTGAGAGATTGCGATGCATTAACATGTATATATATATATATATATATATTATACGCAGGTATTACACGCATGAGATCGGAGCGCAGCACAGAGGGAGCGAAAAGAACAGGAGGTCCGTGCCGCGACCTGCATCGGAATTTTTATTAGGAGGAGAGCACGGCCCTCGTCTCTCCGCTTAAGACGAAAGTACGAGGTGGCACGACCAAATCTGGAGCGTATAAGATTAGAACGGCTAATTGTCGAAACGGCTCGTTTCGCACGCAAATTCCTTCGCGAATTTTGCAACGCGAGAACCAGAAGCACAGCGGAATGGTACGCAGCTATATATCCCACTCGTATCCTTTTGCGGAGAATTCACGTTTGTTGAACAGTAAATTGTAAACATTTACATTTATGTCACGTGATAAAAATCAAAACGAAATTTTCGAGGGAGGCTCGACCGACGTATCAGGAAACAGCGCAATCAGGATTGCTTTAGTTACGTACATCTATTGTATCTTCGCGATAACGTAATCTTATCGAGGAAAGCTATTTCCATTATTCAAACAAGCAACTGTTTTTCACTTCACGTAGTTTGCAATATATAGTACAATGTTAATTGTATTTCATTCGCACGGTTCATAAATTATCAAGTAGAACATCACAAATGATCTCGTGAAAGCCGTGCGAAAAATATGGAAAACTAGGATACAGCAAGATAATATCCAACTGACGAAACATCTACAGCGCGTCAACTCGAATACGTTAAAAAGGATCGAATACGTTACAAAAGCCACATTAAACAGAGTGTAATTTTTATTGTCGGTTTCCTTGCTCCATTGCCCCATAAGTTATATATGATATGCCTTATCTCTCGCATCATCCAAAATAGAATCGTTTCGTCATGGAATATGAGACAGAGTGACGCACGTGTGATGTGAATGATTTAAAATCGCTTTGTCGGAGGATATGCACTCAGAAGACGAAAAAACAAATCGAATATAAATAACTCTAATTCCGGTGATTCCGGTTGACGCTTATTAGCTGCACATAGCGAAAATGAGCGGGCAGGACGGCTTATAAGAAGATACGATTGCAACAAACGTTTCATCAGTCGCGTATCCGCTTCCTGCGACTAGCAAGCGGATTCAAATTCGAATGTTCCAAATGTGAGTGACCCCTCGCCGGTCGAGAAGCATCTTCTTTCCTTTTTACTTCGCATTCGTTTGGCCCACCGAAGTTCATCGTCACCGGCGGCAACGGGGGAACGTGTCGGACTAGGTCCGATTTTGACAAATCGAGGTCCGCCTCTGTCCTCGGGGAAGAGACAGAAACGAAGAAGAAAAAAAGGAGAAAAAGATCCCTGCCCTGAATCATCCGGGGCACTGTGCGCCGAGCCGAATCTAGCCGCTGAAACGGACCGGAGAATCTCGGTGAGCCGAGTCGTGTCAAGTCGAGTCGAGTCGAGTCGAGTCGAGTCGAGTCGAGTCGAGTCGAGTCGAGTCGAGTCGAGTTGGGCCGAATCGGGCTGAATCGCGTCTTGCCGCAGCCAGCCACGCCGGACCACGCCGCGCCGGCTAAAGCATGTGGCCAGTTTCCGTCCGTCCTTGATGCGTGTAGGGTTGTGCTCCATTGACAAGTGCGCGGGACCGTTCGTTCGTTCATTCATACGACGCTCGCCCACTCACATTTCGAAAAAGCCTGCCTGCTCGGAAACACCGTCCTCCACCATCATCAGGACGGCCGTCGTTGCCACCGTTCTGCCGATCGATGTGGTATCCTACACAGATAAAGATTAAACATGCAGATAGTACAGATGATTTCATATACGCGGCTCGTATGATATCAGAACTTTGCGGCTTTGCGACTTAAAGAGCTGAAAGAGAGGCTCGGCTGCTTACATTTTGTCGCACAATTAAACATGAAAGTTTTGTGAAATTTCTGTTTGGATTTATACTTGTTTGGGAGCTTTTTCAAAATTGGGATATCAATCTTTAGTTAGAAAAAAAATTTGCATAACTATTAATTGATTATATACTACAAGTATGTTGTGACGACGTTATTAGAATATTTGATATTGATTTACGCTTCACAGAATCACGTAGGAATTTATAAATTTGAAAGACAAGACGCAAGATACAACCTGTATTATTTACATGAAAAATATAGTTTTAAAGAGTACTGTAACAAATAGCAACACGAGAAAGAAAAGAGAAATTGGCAGACGATATAATAAACGTTCGCTTGGTCAATAATTGCCAGTATTATCCATTTGCCGTCTTTTCTTTCTTGCCGCCTTTTCTAATCTAAAGACAATTGTATCAATTGTATCAATAATGATTCATGCGGATCATCTGTCCGCGAGTCTAATTAGTTCTGAACGAGTCCCGGGCGCGCACAAAGCGTAATGTTCGATGTTAAATCTTGCGACTTGTCAAACCTCTCTCTTTTTCTCTCTCTCTCTCTCTCTTCTTTTGCATATCGTTATTATGCAATGCGCGAATAATGTCAATAAATAACATTGCGTTTGCATACGCATGACTGCTTGCTTCGAACGATATGTACGAATGGCGAATTATCAGTCTTCAATGATGAACTAATATAGAAAATTGCATATGTACACAACTTCTCTAGACGCGCCTTTTTTTGCTTCACGCGATTTTGTAAGAAGGGAAAAAGAATAATGACAAGAGATACATAAGAGATAAATAAGATAATTGTAGATAGTAAATAGAGATAGCGAAATGAACATTATATCCGAATTTCTTTTTCAGTTGCTACAGATTTGCCGGAAAACCAATCTGAAAGCATCCTGAATGCTGTGCTCGAAAGTCCAATAAGCGATTTTGGACATCTCTGCCGCTGGACCAAGCATTTGCAGCTAGAAATATCTCAAGGAACGTATACGAGTGTCCCCGTGCGCTACATGCGCTTGCTTCTCGGAACGACTTCCGAATGTCACGGCGAAAAAATTCTCGTGACACGAGATAACGATGTCAGGATCGATAGAGTGTTATTAAAACGAACATCCGACGCGTACGAAGTTATTAATCGCGCGATTAAAATTCAATAGAAGGATATCCTAGTTTACAAGAAAGTTCTAATAAAAGTTCCCTTTCTCCCTTTCTCTTTTTCTCTTTCTCTCTTGCGCATTGAGAATACAAAATACGAAGAGACCATTCCCGAGCGAGATGGCGTACGACGACGTTATTCTTCATATGGGCGAATTCGGCCGCTACCAGCGCAGAGTCTATCTTCTGCTCTGTCTTCCAGCGATATCATGCGCCTTTCACAAGCTAGCCGGTGTATTTCTTGGAGCGAAAATGAACTCGAGGTACAGTTCGAACAAACGTGACAATAATTACATGATGAATCGCGAGGAATTCGCTGTTCGAACGAGAAACTTCTTTGCCTCAGGTGTTTACTTCCACACGAGCACGCGGAAAACGCCACGTTCCATCTCAATCAGGATGTATTGAACGCGAGTTATCCGTGGGACTACGAGCTCCGAGGGTGGTCCCAGTGCATGAGCCGTGACATTATCAGCCTCGCAAACGGTACGATCGTTGGAAACGTAATTGGCAATGGCACCGAAGGAGGAGGCATCAGTAGTTGCAAGCAATATGTATACGACACGAGCGTGTATAAAAGTACAACCACTTCCGAGGTACAGAATAATGATTATTTAAATTATCTTTGTAAAATAAAGTCTCGCGTTTTCTCAGTGTAATAGTCGCACGAATGAAATTGAAGTAGAAATCAGATAAATTCGATAAAAAAAATCTATATGAATCTCGAAACAGATGATAAATATTTTTTCTTCCGCAGTGGGACTTGGTCTGTGACAAGGCGTGGCTGAGAGCGACGGGGGACTCGCTGTTCATGGTAGGAGTCATGCTTGGCTCGATGATATTCGGCGGTTTGTCCGATAAATATGGTCGTAGACCAATTTTCTTCCTGTCTTTAGTCATACAGCTGGTCGGCGGCATACTAGTTGCTGTTGCGCCCGAGTTTATTTCCTACGTAATCTTCAGGTTAATTGTTGGCTCAACCACCAGTGGGGTGTTCCTAGTAGCTTATGTCATAGGTAACTAAGTTTTTATTCGTCTGTCGTTTGTTACAATATTAATACAATATTTGATATGTCAAAAGATTTTTTTTAACAAGTTTTAATTAAATCACGCGAAGCATAAATGCAAATGATTATATCTTACAGCTTTGGAGATGGTCGGACCGAAAAAGCGATTAGTAGCCGGAGTCGGATGTCAATTGTTTTTTACTACTGGATATATACTCACCGCTGCCTTCGCGTATTTTATTACTGACTGGAGAATGTTGCAAGTAGCTATCACAGTACCAAGCATAGCGTTTCTACTTTATTGGTGGTACGATATATAATATATAATATAATATTATGAAGAATATATATGTATGCTGCTTAGAATATATATATATTTTAAGCAGCATATATAATTCCGGCAGCGTCATGATTTACAAAATGATACAATTCGCGACAGGTTCATTCCTGAATCCGCGCGATGGCTTCTAACAAAAGGTCGTCTTCGAGAAGCCAAAGATCTGCTGCAACGTGCTTCTCTAGAGAATGGTGTAGAGATGCCGAGTGAGGCTCTAGACACGCTTCTTAATAATAACAGCGAAGATAGCATGCCCGATACAAAAAAGCCTTCACTCTTTGATCTGTTCCGTTATCCGAACTTGAGGCGGAAGAGCATTCTTCTATTTTTTAATTGGTACAATCGTTGTATAATTGGTACCGTTGTTTCATGTTGTTACGTTATTTATGTTTAATAATTTTATGCTGATTTTAATTTTCTTTATACAGGCTTGTCAACAGTGGCACGTATTATGGATTGTCTTGGCACGCGTCCAATCTTGGCGGTAATGACTACGTTAATTTTGTAATATCTGGGGTAGTGGAAGTGCCGGCATACACGTTCCTGATTTTCACACTGAATAGATGGGGCAGAAAAATAATTCTTTGTGGCTGTATGATGTTGTCTGGATTAGCATTACTTGGCACATTATTCGTTCCTGCTAGTAAGTATAAATTAACAATTTTGTTAAACTATTCATGTTACATTTTCTTACACGTGTAATAAGATTATCTTTATAATCTACGAAATAACATTTAAAATAACAAATTTATTTCCAGATATGCCATGGTTAATCGTCTGCTTGGCGATGATAGGAAAACTTGCTATTACATCCTCTTATGGTGCAATTTACGTGTTTACTGCCGAACAATTTCCGACTGTCATACGAAATGTTGGATTGGGTGCGAGTTCTACTTTTGCTCGAATTGGTGGCGTTATCGCGCCATATGTTAATCATCTGGTATGTTATATTTATATACTCATTCCTTGATATCTTTATCAAACCTTGAATTTATCACCTTGAATATTATATCATTTTTTGATATAACCACAAAAGATATGTATGTCTGATTATCATAGATTTTCAGTAAACGAAAATGAATTAAAATAGATTAAAATTTTCAGAAGTATGCATTCGTGAATGTTGAAATGAATCCATATCGATATGCCCATTACTTTTGTATTCATTTATAGAAATTGAATGAAACATATTTTTATACAGAAATAAGTTCAGTTTTAAAAAATGGATCGTAAATACCGCTCAATTTAAAATGTTGAATAGGAAATGCAGTTTTTCAATCCAATGTAATCCAAATTCAGTCCAATTTAATCCAATTGAATACAAAAAAGATTTCCATATATGTGTGTGAAAATATTATTATATATATAAACGGATACAAAGGCACTGGGCATTGAAATAGAT